GTTTGGTTGCTATAAACTTTTGTTTTCCTGAATTCTCCCAAAATTGGTTCTGACAGCTTCTGCCCCTTGTTCAATGTTTCTGTCAGTAGGTGAGAGGTTGGAGTGGCCCGCTCCAAATTTTGCTGATGTCACCATTTTTATGATGTCATCCTGATTTACTTCTCTTTGAAGACTTTTTATATGCTCTATCCATCTTTTTCCTAATGGTTTCCTCCTGTCTTTTTTTGTTGGTTCACAGGAATCCCTTGAATAGTCTGGCTATCAACTGCTGGCTTTCTTTGCATCATTTCCTCTCTTCATGTTCTGCCTACTCTTTTTCTGGCCCTCTGGTGAGATGAATGTTGGACTTCCTGGGTTATATCTTTTGAGTTTTATTTCATAGTTTCCATCATTTTACCTCTTTTTAGTACATTGTGGTATAATTCCTGGGCTTCATATTTCTATCCACTAAGTTCAGTGCTGTCCATTCTGCTTTTTAGCCCATCCTCCAAGTATTCTATTCCAACAAGTTAAATTTTCCCTTTCAACATCTCTGGGTAGACCTTGTAGTGTGGTACTTAAGAACTAGAACTCTTGAGTCAGGATCCTGGCCCTGGAGTGGTCATAGCTGGCATATGAAAATGACAGACAGGGAGTGTGAGCCTGTAAAAATAGCTTGTGTTAACTCACATCAAGGACATGGTACTGAAAATGCATTATTTAAAATTATAGAGAAACTTGGCTATTTGAAATTATATCAGTGAGAGTAGAATATCTCACTTGTAACTGAAGGCTCTGAGCCATATGGTTCACTGACAGAGAAGCAGCTTTAATTTCCAACCCAGGTGCAGAGATTTGAATAACGGGTTTTTAGACGTAATATTGCATATTTATCTTAACTGAATTTTCAAGATAACAGGAACTCTGAATCTTCTTAGACCAGCCTGGATATTAATCCCTTTACACACACTCTCTGCTTTTCTCGGAGCCTAACAACTAGAAAACATCCTTATCCATGTCCTGAGAGTCTTGAAAGAGCCCCCATGGAAGAATAGAAGCTACTTTGACAGAAAAGATGTATTTCTATCACTATTTGGTAGGGAGGAGATATTCACCTAAACCAAAACTATGAGTACAGGCTCTAGAGACAGATCCACCATGAGCAAAACAATCAACTTCCCTGAACCTTTAATGTTCATCTGAAAACAGAAATAGAAATGCTTAACTCACTGATTTAAATGTTACAAATTTATAACATTTGTTAATATAAATAAATAGGACTCAATAGATGTTGGTCTCCTGACTTGTCCACGTCCCACCCCTTTCCAAGATACTCAGAATTAAAGGAGAAACGCGTTGCTGTTGGAAGGCTGCCTTGGGAAATTTTGTAACAGAGAGAGGGAATTGTGAGCCTCTAGGCCATGACCATCAAAGTCCATCCAAGGTCCTTGGGTAAGTCCCCAAATCTCTGAACCTCAGGTTCCTCCAAATTACTTCATGGAACTATTGTAAAGATTAGGTGGGGTCATTTGGTACTGCCTACAAGGTCTGGCTCATAGAAGATGCCCAATAAGTGTAAGTGCTTTTTCCCCTTATGCCCCCACCATCTGTAAAAAATTCTACCTGTAAAACTGACTTTGAGGGCCAGCATGTATATGGTACGTGATGAGTATGAAATATAAAATAAAAGTCAAGCTGGTAAAATGTTAAGCCTTGGCATATAGTGAGGAGGTCATAATTAAGCAGGTAGGCCCTAAATGTAAAGCAGGTGGATTTTTCTATACCTTGGCATCATAATGTGCCTTAGCCATACCTACACAACTTTGGTTTCAGAAAAGAGTTTTGGTCCTGATACATCAATAAAAATCTCAAAATAGGGCCTGAGAAAGAGGTTCTTCCAGTTCTGCCTGCCTTGGTGATGAAATGAAACTTCTTTGGAAACTAACTCTAAGTAGTTGTTTTCAAAGTGTGGTCCCCAGAGCAGCAGCATCAAAATCAACTGGGAACTTAGAAATGCAAATTCTCAGGCCCCACTTCAGACCTATTGAATCAGAAACTCTGGGAGTAGCCCCAGTAATCTGTGTTTTAACAAGCCCTCCAGGGGATTCTGATATAGGCTATCATTTGAGAACCACTGCTCTAAGCCTTTTATCTGATTCCTAAATGCACATGTACATGCTTCCAGCACTCATGTGTAGAGAAGGTCCGTTTTATTTTTTTTTTAAAGATTTTATTTATTTGAGAGAGAGAGACTGAGAGAGAGAAAGAGAGAGTGCACACATGAGCAGGGCAGAGGGAGAGGGACAAGCAGACTCCCCCTGAGCAGGGAGCCCGATGTGGGACTCAATCCCAGGACCCTGAGATCATGACCCGGGCTGAAGGCAGATGCTTAACCGACTGAGCCACTCAGGTGCCCAAGAAGGTCCCTTTTATCAGGTGGGCATTTGCTAACAGTTTTTCTTTTCTTTTTTTGTTTTATTAAGATTTTATTTATTTATTTGACAGAGAGAGACACAGTGAGAGACGGAACACAAGCAGGGGGAGTGGGAGAGGGAGAAGCAGGCTTTCCGTGGAGCTGGGAACCCGATGTGGGGCTTGATCCCAGGACCCTGGGATCATGACCTGAGCCAAAGGCAGACGCTTCATGACTGAGCCACCCAGGCGCCACCTGCTAACAGTTTTTCAAGCAGGGGATTAATTGTATCAAATCACATATTCTTAAAGTTGCTTTTAGGACTACAAAAGCTGACTAGGAGCTTTTGTGATTTGAATATGGAGCTCTGGGCTAAACAACACTCACCCAGTGCCAATCAAGCAGCACGGGTGCCATTAACTTCACCCACACTTCTCTAATTCCATACTACCAACCCATCAAGGCAATGGCACCTCATTCAAATAATTTCATTCCCCAAAATCCAATCTGAAGGTTAGAAGAAGTTTTCTTGGGGCTAGATTGTTAAGAAGTTAAGAAACTACTCTCCACCAACTAAGTGCCCATATGTTTTTCTCCCAAGGTTTGCTTTTGTAAAGCAGGACAAGCTGTAATGCATCTTTTAGGAGATGGTGATTTCCACACCAGGAAAGAGTAGGTTCCAGTGAGCTCCAAAGGTAGAAATCCTCTAAGTGAACACCAATGCCTGACTCAGTTACATAAAATTAAACAATGCTCCCAGGTAAACCAAAGGCCCACAGACTAACTTCATTCTGCAGGAAAGGAGATTTCATTTGGAGAGATTCTTTTTAAAATAGTCATCTATGGGGGGACGGGGTAACTGGGTGAAGGGCATTAAGGAGGGCACGGGATGTGATGAGCACTGGGTGTTATACGCAACTGATGAATTATTGAACACTACATCTGAAACTAATGATGTACTATATGTTGGCTACTTGAATTTAAATTTAAACTTAAAAAATAAAAATAAATAAATAAAATAGTCAACTCTATTCAAAGAAGATTTTTTGCCTGATAGAACATGATTTTTCAGTTCTATAAACGGACCATAATAAAAAGTCACTCTGTTCCCAAATACCCATCTTCCATTTGAGGAAAAAAGTACCTCTTCTATGTACTCCTGAAATTATTCTAGTACAATTTATCACTTATTGGCCCCTGGTCACCCAAGGGACTTAGTCTGTCCTAAAAAGACATTATGCATTGAAAGTAGAGTTACCTCATGTTTAGTAGAGATTTTGAAGTTGAAATCATCTCTTTTGCTACCTTTTATTCAAGTTGCCAGACTCTATTCTCCACTCTCTTGGCTCCTATTTCCTAATCCACATCTTGTGCCAACTAAAACTTGCCACACATATGGTCAGTATCTGTTTAGAATATCTAGAAAATAGGAAAGCTGGATGTTACATTTTTTAATGTTTTTATTAGTATCAAAGTAATACATTTTAATCTATGGGACTAAATTCCACTTAATATAACATCTGTTTCGCATCTTTCATGTATGTATCTGTTATCCTCTTTACAAAGTGACCTAGTCACACCCAGAAGAGGTAGATAGATGCTATAAGCACCAAAGTTCCCATTTTTCAAAGAGAAAAATACACAGTTGAGACAAAATAATTTACCACAAAATACGCATGAATCATTGGCAATGCCAGAAACTGAATCCAGGACAATCTAGATACTTTGTGCGCATTTCATCCACCAGCTTTCAATCCTTTCCCTTTATCTTTTCAAAGCTCAAAAATACCACAAACTCCACATGAAACTGAGTCTGCTGAGTAATGCCAGCCACAAGAAATTCTCCACATTCCCCTCTTCTCTGCCTCACTTAAGGGCAATATGGAGGGTGTATCAAATAGTGTCCCTCCTTCCACAAGAACAAGCCATCCCTTTGCCTGTTGAACCATTTGTATGCCTAGGAACCATTCTTAGCTCCACAGCACCTCAGATCCCAGCTCTTTCCTAAACTAGCTTGAAATCAGTCAACACTAACATTGTGACTTTTTCTTAACTTCAAAGTTTATATCACAACATAATTGAGATTTCATGGGTGGGACTAAAAGAATTTAATTAATCAGTTAATTAATTAAAATTATATTTAAAAACTTCTCCCTAGGAAACAGTTTCAACAAGAAATACACTCCTGTCAACTAAAAGTGTTGAATGCTACTACTCAGAACAGAGACCACCTACCCTAACTTTTGTCAATAGATGATCACCACTCAAGACACCCCAAAAAGGAAGGACTGTGATCACATGAACTCATGGAGAGGAGAATCTTGGGATAAGTGTTTCCATGTTACAGGAGAATGTGGCTGCTTTGAAATAACAGATCCTCCAAGAGGTACATTTGTTCTATTATGTGACATAGATCAGCTTCTAAGCTCATATGTCAACATCCACACCATGAGGAAGAGTGACCTCTGGAAAATGTATTCCAATTGATGAGAGTCACCAGAGTGTGTACTGTGTACTTTGTGCAGCCACCAAAAAAAAAAATTAATTAAAAAAAAATAACCTAGGGCCAGGCTTACATAAAAATAAAGTAAGTATTTATAAATAAGTGCCCAAATCATCCATTTGGTCCATAAGTCCATTGCTGAGTGCCAAAGACATTCCAGACACAGCAAATGACAAAATAAGTGAAATCTCAAACATGAGGAACTCATAACAGACAATTTAAAGAAAACCAGAAAATCCCTTTGACTCAAGATTATCCACTTTCCCCACTGGCCTGAGGCTGGTGCCTGGGTCCCTCCCTTTGGGGTAAGTTCTGCCATCCCCAAGCTTTCCCTTCAAAGAGCAAAACGCCCAGGCCAGGGACCCTATCAAGTTCCCATCTTCAGCTTCAATGCATTCATCAGTTTATCAGATTGATTTTTCTCATGCCAGGAAGAACTTGACAGGTGTATGATGAGAGGGGAAATATTTCTCTTTTAAAAAGATGGGGAGAAGGTCATGAAGGGAAAGCAGCATGAACCAGGGAGACTACAACTCTTAAAATAATATTCAAGGATCACAAACAACACTGACACACTGAATCTACCTGAGAAAAACTTGCATCACACATGGCAGGACTTCTTTCTTACTGCACCTTTTCCTGGACATGACTGAGTTGGACTTTCCTTCTGCAGCTCTAATATATACAGCTGATGATATCACACTGGCCTCAAATACATAAGTTAAAAGCAAATTATTGATTTTTCTTCAGTTATCCTGTAATTACATCTGTACACATTTATCAACTGGGCAAAATTTACAACTGGCTGGTTTACCACCAGCTTACACCAGAGAATAGAAGTAAAGGAGGCAGAGTAAAAAGTCTGGCCTTCCTGAACAAGGCCTGCCAAAGAAGGCAAGGCTTAGGCAAAATATGCATGGCAGAAAACGGCCACGGCCAGCAGGATGATGCCATTGATGTTCACTACTGTTCGCCATAAAGGCTTCTCAGAGGTGTCTGTCATCTTCAGCTTCATAGCTTCCTCCTCTTCCTTCGTCATCTTGGGGCCTTTCTGCTGGTCCAGGCCACAAAATAGATCATAGGCCCGCTTGAAGCATCCTTTTTTCTCCTCAGGAACTTCTGTATCAGGGGAAAGGTATAAAACGATGGTTAGATACAGAAGCAAGAGGCAGGAGGAAAGGTTCCGGGGAAGATGCCATGAAAAGGAAATATCTGCCATTCTTCAGACATTTCCCAATTTTCTTGTTTGCAGGAATGGAAATGGTACAAAATGTTTGAGTAAACTTAATTAATTATAAAATGATGGTAATAGCTGGATTCTACATCTTTATGATCAACTAAATTAAGCTTTATCTCTATCAGGCCAACACAAATACATTTTTATTTAGAAAAGTCAGAATCAAACAGGAAATAATAGTCTATGAAAAGAAATGTTAACAATGGACTGGGAAACTATGACATATGAACAAGGAAAATCCACCTCCAAACCACATAAACTCATATCTGTTTACCACATCACTGGAAAGCAGTGAGACTTGCATGACTCAGGAGCATATTAGCTACACCTGAAAGTTCCAAAGCTTTATAACAGATCCAGCCATGTGGTAATAATTGGTCTGAGTACTGCCTGACATAGGGCAGCAACGATGAACAATTCCAGAGCTTAAGATCTGATGTTGCATATCAATATTGCTGAATCAAACCACCCAACTGGCCCTGCCATTCAAAGTGGATGCCCACCAAGGGAACTGATTCTCTCCTCTGAGCCCAGGTAAGGCATTAAAAGTAGACAGACCTGGATTAGAATCCCAGGTCTATGGCTCACTAGATATGAAATCAAGCCCACTGTGTTTCAACACCATAGTCAGAGACTACTGCTCTCCACTCCCCGATTTTTAAGAGTCACAGACTTTTAGAATTGCAAATAACCTTAGTGATTAAGCACATACATGTGTCAGAACTGCAACCAAAACTCAGCTTTATGGTTTTGCTAATACACCTATCTAATCTTCAAGTGCAGGTAAAATTGGATAAATAATACCTTCTTCATTATAAGATTTTATGAGAGAATGCCCAGTGTGTAGCAGATGTCAAGAAGTAATAGTCTCCTTCTATTCTTTTTTCTCTCATTAACATAAGAAAGAGGGGCAAGTCTCCTTGTACCCCTCCACTTTGGTCACTCCACCAAAATAGAATAATGGAGAAGAAGTAACAAAAGGTTGGGGTCACTGACCAGCACAAGGGATAAATGCATGGTTATCCAGATGGTCTTGAGCAAGTCTCTATATCTCATTTACCCATCTGTAAAGTTGGAAGAATTATATTTGTATTATCTAACTTAAAAGTAAGATATGGTGCTAAAATGAATCACTAGAGGGCGCCTGGGTGGCTCAGTTGGTTAAGCGACTGCCTTCGGCTCAGGTCATGATCCTGGAGTCCCAGGATCGAGTCCCGCATTGGGCTCCCTGATCTGCAGGGGGTCTGCTTCTCCCTCTGACCCTCCTCCCTCTCATGCTCTCTGTCTCTCATTCTCTCTCTCTCAAATAAATAAATAAAATCTTTAAAAAAATAAAATAATAAAATGAATCACTAGAGTAATGTATTCATAATTAAAATATGTCATGATCATATCATTACCAATCATGATGACAACGATGGTGATGATTACAGATGGGGTTGATGATACAGCTTAATGCTGCTGTTTCTCAGAGAATGGTTACAGTGACATCCATTATCTATAAAAGTCCTCAAGAGATCTTAATTTATTTTATTTTAATGGGTCAGAGCCTTCCATCTGCTTTCACCATGAACTGACCAAGAAACAACAGAATTCAAGTGTTGCCATTGATCTCAGAAGTCACTAAGCCAATTCTCTAGCCAGCGGGAAACTCCTCTAGGGAATCTCTAATAGATGCACATTTGCTGCTCACCCTTTTCAGACCAACTCAGAAAACTCTTCCTTAGTAGCAATCATAATGGTGATAATTATAGTCAATTCTTATAATGGAGCATTATCTTGTTTAATGTTTCCAACAGTGCTATTATAAGGTATAGGCTATCATTTAGAATATTTTTATATTAAGAACCTAAGCTTTAGAAAAAATGGAATCACTTGCACAAGGAGTAAGTAGAGAAGTAAGGATTCAATCCCAGTTCTTCTTGAATCCAAATCCCACACTGTGTCTTTGCACTATCATGCCTCCTCACTTTGAGTTAAGATTGGATGAGTTCTGTTCTGGTGAACAGAGGACACTGAACTGCAAGGCACAAAAGGACCTCTTCTTCATAAGGTCACTACTTTCAAGAGCAGGAGACATAGCTGACTTTCCTAATACATAGAAATAGACACAGAGAATTAGACAAAATAAGGAGACTGAGGAATATGTCCCAAATGAAAGAACAGGACAACACCACAGCAAGAAACCTGGGCAAAATGGAGATAAGTAATATGCCTGATAGAGAATTTAAAGTAACAGTCATAAAAATACTCACTGGACTTGAGAAAAGAGTGGAGGACCTCAGTGAGACCCTTAACAAAGAGAAAGAAAACAGAAAGAACCAATCATAGATGAAGAACTCAATAACTGAAATTAAAAATACACTAGAATGAATAAATAGTAGACTAGAGGAAACAGAATAGATCAGTGACCTGGAGGACAGAGTAATGGAAAGCAATCAAACTGAACAGGAGAATGAAAAATTAATGATAATAATAATACATAAAAATAGATTTAGGGAAATCCATGACACTATCAATTGTAATATCATTTGCATTATAGGGATCCCAGAAGGAGAAGAGAGAAAAGGAGGGCAGAAATTTTATTTGAAGAAATAATAGCTGAAAAATTCCCAAACCTGGGGAAGGAAACAGAAATCCAGATCCAGGAGACACAGTGAACCCCCAACAAAATCAACCCAAGGAGGTCCACACCAAGACACACAGTAATTAAAATGGCAAAAAGTAGAGGAGTCAAGATGGTGGAGGAATAGGGGGATCCTGTTTGTCTTGTCTCTCAAATACAACCAGATAGTTATCAAATCATTCTGAAAACCCAAGAAATCAGAGATCTGAGGGAAAAAAAAATGCTGCAAGTCTACCAGTGGACCACCATTCTTAATTTTTATTTTTATATATACTTTATATGTTTAAATTTTTTGTTTACTTACATTGTAGTGTGTGTGTGGGGGGGGTGTGTTTCTTTCTTTCTTATTTGAGACCTAGTTTCTTTTAACAAGCAGACCAAAACACACCCAGGATCTAGTGGGGTTTTGCTGTTGTTCTATTGTTGTTTATTATTGTTTTTGCTGTTTTTCTTTCTTCTTTTCTTTTCTGGACAAAATGACAAGATGGAGAAATTCACCCCAAAAGAAAGAACAAGAGGGAGTACTCACTGCCAGGGATTTAATCAATACATATATAAGTAAGATGACTGAACTAGAATTTAAAACAATGATTTTAAAGATACTAACTGGGTTTGAAAAAAGCATACAAGACACTAGAGAATCCCTTATTTAGAGATTAAAGAACTAAAATCTAGTCAGGCCAAAATTTAAAATGCTATCACCAAGATGCAGTCCCAAATGGAAGCCATAAAAATGAAGATGGATGAATCAGAAGAGCAAATAAGTGATACAGAAGATAAAATGATGGAAAATAAGGAAGCTGAAAAGAAGAGGGAAAGAAACCTACTAGAGCACAAAGGTAGACTGAGGGAACTCAATGATTCCATAAAGCAAAATATTATCCATATTATAGAAGTCCCAGAAGATGAGGACCAGGAGAAAAGGGCAGAAGGTTTATTTGAACAAATTACAGCTGAGAACTTACCTAATCTGGGAAAGAAAACAGGGTTTCAAGTCCAGGAGGCACAGAGACCCCCCCCTCAAAATCAACAAGAACAGATCAACAACTCAACGTTTTATAGTCAAGTTTGCAAATTACAAAGATAAAGAGAAAATCCTGAAAGCAGCTCAGGACAAGAGGTCCTTAACCTACAAGAGTAGACACATATGACTGGCAGCATACCTGTCCATGGAAACCTGGCAGGCCAAGAAGGACTGGCATGACATATTCAATGTGCTAAATGGGAAAAATATACAGCCAAGAATACTTTATCCATCAAGGCTGTCATTCAGAATAGATGAAGAGATAAAGAGTTTCCAGTACAAACAAAAACTAAAGGAATTTGTGAACACTAAGCCAGTCCTGCAAGAAATATTAAAGGGGATCCTTTGAGCAGAGAGAGAGCCTAAAGTTAACAAAGATCAGAAAGGAACAGAGAAAATCTACAGAAACAGCGACTTTATAGGTAATACAATGGCACAAAATTCATATCTTTCAATAATTACTCTGAATGTAAATGGACTAAATGTTCCAAACAAAAGACACAGGGTATCAGAATGGATTTAAAAAAAAAGACCCATTGATATGCTGCTTACAAGAGACTCATTTTACACCCAAAGACACCTCCAGATTGAAAGCAAATGGACATCAAAAGAAAGCTGGAGTAGTCATCCTTCTTTCAGACAAACTAGATTTTAAACCAAAAACTGTAATAAGAGATGAAGGACACTATATCATAACAAAGGGATCTATCCATCAAGAAGACCTAACAATTATAAGTATTTATGCCTCTATAAACCAATTAATAACAAAATTAAAGAAACTGGTTAATAATAATAATACAATAATAGCAGGAGACTTTAACACCCTACTCACAGCAATTGACAGATCATCTAAGCATAACATCAACAAGGAAATAAGGGCTTTGAATGACACACTGGACCAAATAGACTTAATAGATATATTCAGATCATTTCATCCTAAAGCAGAATACACATTCTTTTCGAGTGCACATGGAATATTCTCCAGAAGAGATCACCTACAGGGTCAAAATCAGCCCTCAACAGATACAAAAAGATTAAGATCATATCATGCATATTTTCAGACTGCAGTGCTATGAAACGTGAAGTCAACCACAAGAAGAAATTTGGAAGGACCACAAATACATGGAGGTTAAAGAATATTCCACTAGGGCCCTGGGTGGCTCAGTTGGTTAAGCAACTGCCTTTGGCTCAGGTCATGATCCTGGAGTCCCGGGATCGAGTCCCGCCTCGGGCTCCCTGC